TGAGATGGGGCCCGTAGGGCACACCTACAAAGCCAAGGAAAAAGTGCCTGCCCAGCCTTGCCCTCCCCCACCCCCTGTGGACAGCCAGGCCCATTTCCAGCCTTCGCTCCTTCCTTCCCTTCTCAGGCACCTCCTGACCCCGCACCCAGGCCGGTGGGGACCCAGGGGCATAGGAGGCCAGAAACTGGGATGAACAGTCCTCACGGCCACACACGCAGAAGTCTACCCTGCTTGAGGGTAACATGCTGGGTCCTTGAGTCCTAGGGATCGCCCTCCAGGAAGGTGGTATAACCCCATATGACAGAGGAAGACACAGAGGCTCAGAGGGGATAACTGCCTCTGACCAGCACACACCAAAGCCAGATGAAGACGGCAGCCTGGGCTCTGCCAACACTCCAGTCAGGGGGTGGGTCAGCCATTCTGCTTCCCTTTGCAAGAGCCAGGTGCCCTGCTTAGTGCTGGGGGTGGGACTGAGAGAGGACTGGGGTAGGACAGGGCATGTAACTGGAAATCTGGGTTTTTGTGTAGAATCTCATAGTTTCAGATTCTGGCAATGAATCTGAAATAGACTGTAAGCCATTCTGTCAGTGCTCTGGACTTACTGCTGCGGGACCCAGAGCAAACCACTTAACCTCTCTCGACTTCGAGCGTGTCCTCTAGAAGTAGAAAAAATAACACAGGTTACTGTGACAGTAAGCTACACTCTGCCCAGACGAATGGTGATAAAAAGCAACGGTGAACAGTGAATGCCAGGCACCATTCTAAGTAATGTGAATTAATGTCATTTCATCCCAACCATGAGGCACTCTTTTTAACTTTGTGTTTTGAAAAAAACTTCAAACTTCCAGAAAGATTACAAGAAAAGCACAAAGAACTCCCCTACACTTTTTATGCAGATCTACTTATGCTGTTTTGCTTCATTTTAAGACCTGTCTATATACGTGTCTCTTTCCAGTATTTGAAAGCAGACAGCTTACCCTGTGCCCCTCTACCCCGAAAAACGTCAATGCATGTTTCCTAAGAACACGGACCCTATAGTTATCAGATCATTTAACATGGATACAATGCTTTACAGTTCATTTTCAATTTCGTCAGCTGTGCCAATAAAGTCCCTTACACGATGTTTTTTTTTTTCCAGCCTGGGTTCACATACTGAGTTTGGTTGTCCTGTCCCCTTGGTGAGCTTTAATCTCGAACTGTGCCTTGGCCTTTGAGATAAGTATTCTGTCTCCACTTCATAGATGAGAAACAAGCCCAGAGAGGTTGAAGCACTTGCCCTAAGTCACACAGCTAGGAAATGGGGAGCTGAGACTCAAGCCCACGGGGTCCCCTCCAGAGGCCGTGTTCTCATCTGTCAGGCCAAGGACTTGCAAATAATAGCCTTTGTTGTTAATAGCTGGAAACAGTGGCTCCCTCTGCCAACAGCAGGACTGCTCCCAGCCACCTCACTCAGCAGGTGGTTATTAACCAAAGGAGTGGCCTCCTGCTGCCAGCTCTGTACACCTGGCAATGGCCCTGGCCCAATGCCCACCACCCCAGTCTGTGGGGCTCCATTTAGCCCCTCTTATAAAAAGCTGGGAGACAGAGGGCCATGGATGGCTGAGAGTAGGAGGGAGCCATGGTTCCTGCCTTCCTTTTTTCCCCTCTCAAAGTGACAATTCAGGCTCAAATGTCCATGTCCAAAAGGCAGAGGAAGGCAAAGGCCCCAGAACCAAAGCCTGAGGTCAAAAGGGCACCCAGGCCAGGTCCCTGACCCATAGTCCACCAACACTGAGTGTGACCCCTGAGGTCAGCTGTCCAAGAGTGGGGTGCAGAGCATTTCCTAAGAGATGTGATGGCGTTGCATGGGAGGGAAGAAGGAACAGCAGGTGCAAGGGCCGGGAGGTAGGAGTAGAGGTCTTCATGCAGGGAGCAGAAAAGATGCAGGACGTGATGGGTCATGCAGCCTGGGAGGAGTCTGTGGGCTGATCCCACGCACTCGGCTTCTTCAGTTTGGACCCTCCGGGATGTGGAATCATCAGCTGCTTTCTGGGCCGGGAGCCCCTCTCCCCAGTTCTCACCCAGGCCAAGCATCAGCTTAGGAAACCATTCTCTTCGGTTCCCAAATGGGTGTGGCTCAGGGCTGGAGGCTGCCGTCACCCCAGCCCCCGTCCACCTGCCAGCCAGACCCCATCAGATGGCTCTCCAGCAGCTGGTCGTGAGCCACGGCTCCCCTCGGACTCACAGCCGGAGAGGCAACACCGCCAACAGGAAGGTCCGCAACAGACCAATTAGGATGTTGACTTCTGCATGAGTTCCAGACTGTTCTGTTGGTTTCAAGACTAATCTGTGCTGATTTCAGAATCCTGAGACTTTCCCCTTGGACACTTTGTTAAATTCAGAAGTTTACATCTGTCCCCAGACCAGACCTGCAAACCCGGGTCCAAGCTTCAGGGGCAGCAGAACTGCTCTTGAGAAATTTTCCAGAGCAAATGAGAAAGGAATAAAGTTTTGCTTTTCTCGCTTTTAGATAACTTTGGAAATACAGCAAGCATGAATAAAGAAGAAAATGATGGATCACCAGACTTCCCCAAAGATGTCCCAATGAAGACCTCTCCCTGTCTGTCCTTCTCCAGCGTCCAGAGTGTGGACTGGCCTACCTGCTGTGTGAGGTTCTCCCTACGGAGGTGTTTGGGGTCAAGGTGAACTCTGTTTCCCCAGTGGGCTAGTAAGGGGCTCAGGAGGGCAGGAAGCCACCCCATCTCTTTGCCTCCAGCCCAGGCAGGCCACTCAAGAGTCAACAGAAGCCACTATCCCCCATCAGCATGCCTGTGTGCCCAGGTACACAGGAAAAGGATCCAAGCGGTGGAGGTCAGCAGCAAAGCCCCAGAGCATCCTTGGGGAAAAGGGAGGAGGTGAGTGGGCAATGTGTTGTGCCCTTGGTGGAGGGGAGGGATTTAAGGGGTCGACTTGAGAGCCCTTCTGCCTGTTGGGGTGGGGTCAGGCTCCCAATATGTACTCAAACAGACTTCACCAGAACCATACCAGAATAGGATGGGAAGACCAAGAGGCCAGGCCCTAGTCCCAGCTCCAGGCCTAACTTGTTAACAGACCTTTGAAGACCTCAGCTTTCCCATTTGTAGATGGGGCAGGTCATTCCAGCCCTAACTCACAGATCAAATGATATAAGGAAGGTGCCGGGGCTCTGTGAGCCATCTGGCCTCAGAAATCGGAGGGCTCCCACCTCTCCCTGCCCCCCACCACCACCACAATAGGCCCAAGAGCACCAAGAGCTGAGGGAAGAGGACCTCACATGTGAAAACCAGAACACTGAGCCCTGGGGGAGGCAGCTGCCCCCTCTAATCCCCCTGGAGCAGCTCCACTCCTGGGGGGGCGGGTCTCCTCACTGTGCCTGGGGTCCACCCCCCCCACAACCCCAAGTCCCCACCACACAAGCTCCCTGCTACTATGAGGGCGGCTGCCCACCTGTCAAAGCAGTGACAGAATAACAGAGCCCCAGACTCCCCCCACACCCCACCGCCGGAACCCCTCAGCCAGGGGCCCTGAGACCGCGCAGGCCTGATGGTCGTGGGTTCACAGCCCTGCGGAGCCTCACTCTGGACCGGGTCTGATGGCGCCTCAGCACCACGGAGGCGGGGCTGCGTTGGCTGTTCTGGGCACAACCCCCAGACCCAGGTCATCTGGGCTCCTCCTGTAAAGGCTCCAATCCTAGACTCTCATTTCCAGCTTTGACTCTGGGGCTCAGAAAGAACAGGAGTTCTTGGCCTCTGAGGAGGGGACCCAAGATAGAACCCTTCAGACCCCACTGAGGAAGACTCCAGCATCTCTCCCCCAACCAGGGTGAGACTACCTTTACCCATTCCCTTCGGATGTAAGGTTTAGGTTTCCCGTTTTCCCCAGCGGGTATCTAAGTCAGGGGCCAGCGCCTAGCTCTCTCGCCCAACCCCTCTCCCTTCATTCGAAAGGGGTCCTGCTCCACGCGGGCTGTGGTAGGACTGCCTCCAAACCCAGCCCCTGGTCTGGCCCTCACTGAGCCTTCTCCCCTTGAGGTATTATTGTTACCTTCAGTACACTCTACCCGCGCTCGGGGGCCCGGGCCTTGTCAAGTCTGGGAAACCTAACCAGCCAGGCCCTCGGGACCATCACAGGCCAGCGAACTTGCCGGCATGGGTCCGAAGGTCACCGGCCTGGGGTGCAGCCGGGGAAAGGCGCAGAGCCGTGTCCCTCCCGCAGGTCTCCGTCTTGCCATCCGGAAAGTGGGGCCGCGCCCCAGCTCCTGTCAGCCGGGGCTCTGTCTGCGAGGCTCTCCCGCGGCCCGGGAGGGGAGCAGAGGACCCAGGGAGGGAGCATCTGAGAAGACCCCCCCCCCCCACCATAAAGCCCGCAGGAGGAGGAGAACGCAGGGGGCGGCGGCTCCGCGGGCCCGGGGGCCCTTCGGCCCCGCGTCCCGCCTCAGCGCATTTCCCCGGAGGCTCGTCCCGGCCGACGCCGCCCCGGCCCCACACCCACCGGGTCTCCGCCTGGGTGGGGCCCGGCCGGCGCGCGGCAAGGACGCGCAGACACCCCGCGCGACGCCCCCCACGACGCGGGGGGCCCGGGGGCTCGGACGGCGGCGCGCTGCCACTCGGGGTCGCCGCGCCTCCCCACTCCGGGGCCCGGGCCGCCGCCGCCGCGCTCACCTGCCGCCGCCGCTCCTGCCCGCGCTCCGGCCGCCGCCGCCGCCTCCGCCTCCGCCGCCCGAGTGGCCGAGCCGGCCGCGGGCGGGATCCGGCCGTGCGGGCGGGGGCGGCGGAGCGGCAGCAGGCGCCCCCCGCTGGCCGCCCGAGCCGGGAGCCCCGAGCCTGGCCGCGGTGGGGGCCCGACGCCCCGGCCGCCGCCCCCGCTCCGTTTTCACCGGCAGCGCCGAGTACGACCCCCTGAGAACCGGGAGCTGGAGACCAAACCTTCCCCCCAAATACCAAAGTATTTGTTCTCAGAGTCACGCACGTGTGTGGACGCACCAGGTGCTGCTCCGGCCCAGAGGGAAACACTTTCTAGCAAACTCTTTCAGCTGTTTCTGCTCCAGCTCCCACCACCCGCCTTCCAGGAACGCCCCTTTCTAGAAGGAACTATAGACGTGGGGCTAACGCGCTCCTGCCGCGATGAAGGCGGCCTAGGTGGAAACTTGCCGTCTCTCCCGAGCGTTGAACACCACCCCCGCCCCCGGGGCGCCGGGAGATGGGAGAGGCCCGCGAGCGCGGTCGCCAGGAAGACAGAGCCGGCCTAAGAAAGTAGGTATTCTCAGAAAGGGGATGTCTAACCCTATCGTGACCCCACTCACTGCTGCCTACAGCCCTGGGTGGGGCCCCAGTGCTGGCGGCAATAACATCGGCTGCGTTTCCGAGGCACCCAGGCTGGGTGAGCAAGAAAGCACGCTCCTGAGTCACAGCTGGGAGGGACAAAGGAGGCGACGGAAGGGGTAATCAAGACCAGCCGAGCGTTTAACTAAGACCTTCATGAGCCCACTTGTCCCAGCAGCGCTTACGCCCCTGAAGGAATAATGGCTATGCCCAGAGGGGTCACGTGGGCAGCTGTTGGGCCCATTTCTCCGGCCCCAACCTCCGAGTCCCTAGCGTGAGTTCTGCAGGCAAGATTGCTGAGAACGTGCGGTTTAACAAGCGCGCCGGTGATCCAATGACAAGCAGCTTGGGGGGACTCTGGTCTCCCTGGAGCCCTGTGATGGAATCCCGGAGCCAGATACATTCGTTTACCTTCAACCAAGAGACACCCAGGGTCTGGGTCTTTCGCCTTGACCCTGCAGTAGGCCTAGAACCCAGCCCAGGGAACACCCACTTTGGACGTATGCTGATGAATCAGATGGCGGAATGCAAGATGGAAAGTGAAAATCTGATTTCCATCCCAGATGGCAGGCGGGAGGGAGGTCCCCGCTGAGACTCCTAACCCTTTTGTGCAGCCAGCCCGCCCTGATGCCCTAAATCCAGTTCCCACCGCCTCGGGGCATCCAGATGGTGGCATCTTGCCCTGTGGGCCAGAACTGGGCCACTACCCTGGTGAGGTCACCACTTTGCATCCCGAGGGCTCACGGGGAAGATTGGAGTGCCTGGGACTTCCCTGCGCAGGAAAGGGGAACCCCAGCAGGAGAAAGGTAGTGGGCACACCTAATCCTCATCAGCCGGATTCTGCGCCTCGCCCCGCCCACCCTGTGGCTCCGCCCCTGAGAAGAACCCAGGAAGTGAGTCAGCCCTCAGACCTCAAGACCAGTGAGCATCTCAGCTCCAGGCTGGGGTGTCCTGGCCGCCAAGGTCAAGCCTGAAGAGAGTGAGGGGTTAGCCCTGGGCATTGGTTCGACCTGCTGCGGATCACGCTCAGGCCTCTCCCTTCTGCCTCCACGCACAGTGCTGGGAGCCCTCAGCCCCTTTGCGGTGTGTTGGCGGGGTAGGGTGGCGTGCTGTGACTTCCCACCCTGCGGTGTGTGTGTGTCATCTTTTTGTAATTCTTTGACCAGCTCTCCTGACAGCAGACAGGAAAACGGAGCTGGGGAAAGTGAGTGCAACGCAATGCTTGCATCAGTGCGAGCCATTACCTTACCACTAATTGCCAAGACAGCTCCACATCTGCGCCATGGCAAGCTAGCTCACAACGGCCCCCTTGCACGCAGTGAGTGACTCGCAGACTGCAGCCGAAGTCGGAATCACCCAGAGGCCCAGTGGGAACACACCCTTCTGGGCCCCACTTGGAGTCTGATTTAGCAGGTCTGTAGTGGCTACCGAGAATTTTAACTTCCATCATGCTCTCCAGGGGTGCCAGTGCGGCTGGCTGGCCTGTGCAAGGCTCTAAGGTACTGATTTCCAAACATGGTTAGAGTCCCACTCCCAGAGATTCTGATCCTGGGGAGGGGGTCTGCAAATATGCATTGTTTAAAAAGCCAGGTGTGTTTATTTAGTGACAAAGATGGCACTTCAGATCAGAAAGGAGACGGAATGATTTCTTCAGGTTCTAAGTGTTGGACGAATTGGCTACCATTTGAGAAAAAATGGTCCAGTGCCCCCTCACAGCACACTAGAACAACAGTAAGAGGAAAACAAAAAAAAAAGCTATTAAGATTAAAGATCTTTGCATTTGAAAATGAAACTTGCAAAAAAAAAAAAAAACATTTTTTAGGGATTTTGGAGCGGAGAAGTCTGCCTGGGAAATCAAACCCACACTGCAGGGATGTAGTTAAAAGTTTAATGTCTCTGGGGTGCCTGGGTGGCTCAGTGGGTTAAAGCCTCTGTCTTCATGATCATGATCATGATCTCAGGGTCCTGGGATTGAGCCCCGAGCCAGGAGCCTGCTTCCCCCCTCTCTGCCTGCCTCTCTGCTTACTTGTGATCTCTCTCTCTGTGTCAAATAAATAAATAAAATCTTAAAAAAAAAATTAATGTCTCTATCCAGGTGAGGGGGTGTCTCCAAATGCCCACATCTAGTGTCTTTGTGATTTTAATTTTCCACTGTGTTGGAAAACTCCAGAGCACATTTGCCTGAAGAGTCCCTCATTAACTGCCCTGGGGGCAGCGTCCACCATAAGCGGGCCAGCTCCGGCCGCTAGAGAACCATCACCATTTGTTGCCCGAATGATTTTCGGTGGCAGGCCACAGTTCAGGGGCCTTGTTGCACTTGTGCAGAGAGAAGATTTAAAAACTAAAATAAATCACTAGAACAGAAGCTGTGACTCACTTATTTCGGCAAATCCAGCCCTTTAACCAGGCAACAGCCAAGCAGGACAGCAGCAAATTTCCCAAGATTAGTGCTTATCCTTTCAGCCCTGGTTCAACGTCTCACTCATCACCACGTGGAGCTGTATGGGCTTTCCCAGCCAGATGGTCCCTGCTGCTGACCCCAAAGAAGGGAGTTCCCATCAGTAGTGCTTATCACAGACAGATGCTCAGTGAGGACCTGTGGACCTATGCAGCTAATGTTTTTTGTTTGGGTTTTTGTTTTTTTAAGATTTTATTTCTTTGGGGCACCTGGGTGGCTCAGTTGGTTGAGCGACTGCCTTCAGCTTAGGTCATGATCCTGGAGTCCTGGGATCTGAGTCCCATATCAGGCTCCCTGCTCAGTAGGGGGTCTGCTTCTCCTTCTGACCTTCCCCCTCCCATGTTCGCTCACTCTCTCTCTCTCTCAAATAAATAAATAAAATCTTCAAAAAAAAAAAAAAGGGATTTTATTTCTTTGACAGAGAGAGAAACAGCGAGAGAAGGAACACAAGCAGGGGAGAGGGAGAGGGAGAAATCGGCTTCCCACCAAGCAGGGAGCCCGATGCGGGGCTCAATCCCAAGACCCTGGGATCATGACCTGAGTCAAAGGCAGACACTTAATGACTGAGCCAACCAGGTGCCTGCTAACGGTTTTTTAGAAGGGGATTATGAACTTCACCGTAGACAATGAAACAATCCAAAGATAAGAATTGGGAATCTCCTTCATTCCACTCCCTGAGATAACTAGTCTCAAGACTGGAGATGTACTCCTTCTATACCCTTCTCCCTGGCAATCCAATTTTACATTAGAAAACTAGCCAGGGGGGGTGCCTGGGTGGCTCAGTGGGTTAAAGCCTCTGCCTTCGGCTCAGGTCATGATCCCAGGGTCCTGGGATCAAGCTCCACATCCGGCTCTCTGCTCAGCAGGGAGCCTGCTTCCCCCTCTCTCTCTGCCTGCCTCTCTGCCTACTTGTGATTTCTCTCTCTGTCAAATAAATAAAATAAAATCTTAAAAAAAAAAAGAAAACTAGCCAGGGGCGCCTGGGTGGCTCAGTTGTTAAGCGTCTACCTTCAGCTCAGTTCATGATCCCAGGGTGCTAGAATCGAGACCTGCATTGGGCTTCCTGCTCAGTGGGGATCCTGCTTCTCCCTCTCTCTCTGCAGCTCTCCCTGTTTGTGCTCTCTCACTCTCTCTGTCAAATAAATAAACAAAATCTTAGAAAGAAAGGAAGAAGGGGAAAAAAAGGGAAGAAAAGAAAAAAAGAAAAAGGAAGGAAAAACAAAACAAAACTAATCAGATCGGGGTGCCTGGGTGGTTCAGTCAGTTGGGCATCTGGCTCTTGGTTTTGGCTCAGGTCATGATCTTGGGGCCATAAGGTCGAGCCCCACGTAGGGCTCTGTGCTCAGCTCGGAATCTGCTTGAGATTCTCTCTCTCTCCTTCTGCCCCTCCTCCCTCTCAAGCTCTCTCTCTCAAATAATCTTAAAAAAAAAAAAAAAAAAACAACTAACCAGATCAAATCATGCTGTCCACCTTGAACTTATACTGTACTGTAGTGTCAATTATATCTCATTAAAATTGGAAAAAATTGGCCAGAAAAATGGTGGATTGAACCCATTGTGCACATTTGCTGCCTCCATGATTCCACTAGAACAGGAAGGAAAGAATTTTAGGGCCCCTAGGAATAGAGAGAATGAGAGGCTGGAACAGCAACATGAAGGTGGAAGGAGGAAAGCAAACAGATCAGTGGTACTGACTTGGGAGACACAAGAAATGCACACGTGAACTGGCCGCTAGGAAAACTAAGAATCAATCCCATTTACATGGGTCAGCTGCAAAGGCTCAAAGGGTGGAAGGGCCAGCATCTCCACCTGCAGGGGAGAGCTGTCGTTAAAGGAGGGAGGCTTAAACGTTAAAGGAGGGAGGCTGAACATCTAAGGAGTTAAGAGTGCCATCTCTCTGTACACCTGACTACCACTGCCCAGCTAGCTCCCCACCCAAGCATAGTCTGCATGCAGGGTTTTTCTCTGGAAAAGCTAAAATACAGAGTCTGGATTGGACCACACCAAGCCCAGCTGCAGGAAAAAAGAGAGAAATTGAAAAGGCAGATACTTTGGGAAAACAGAGACATGCCCTGTATATAGGCAGCCAGGTCCTTATCCCCAGGCTAGAGGAATTCTCTAGGCTAGGGAAACTCCATGAGCCAAGTCCCAGAGATCCTCTCCTCACCACCATCAAGCCTGACCACGCTGAGGGAGCCACGTGGCTGACTGCCACGTTGAGTAGCAGAGGACCTTGTGAGCATTGTAGGCACCCCCTCTTAAACCTATGCAGGAACCAGAAAACAGGAATCTGAGAAAGGTCCCTAAACCCAAAGGAGAGTCCAAGACAACAGAAAAATTTAGGTCACAGAGA